CGCTTGTAGTCTTTATATTATAACATCCTCTCTGACGAGAAGATCGGTCTGTCATTTACAATTGCTGCTGGTCCTCGCCAGCGCAGTCATTCTCAGGTCAGAGTCCCGCGGAACTCATGACTACATTTTACTGTCTCGGATTCGACACTCCTCCAATCTGGAGGGCCAGGTCCCCGTATTTATATCCCCCAGGCACAGGGTGGCAGGTTATAGCCCCAGGCATTGGGTTTCCTTTTCGTTGCCTCCTACGACTCGTAGGGCTACGGTGGTATTCGATCCCGCCTCCACACGTGTTACTGACTCACAACTCAACTCCACTCAACTTGGAGCTTTTCGTTACATAGCCTCGGGGCGGACCTAAATGGAAACACCGTCTCTGATGTCCCGTATTATTTTGGGCGTGTTTGATGATCCGTTGCCTAGCAGTTGACGTGATATTCTTACGCGCGTTCGCTCCCGCGAGAATGTGCTTACCGAGCCGCTGCCTAGCAATGGGTCTATACGTCACAATGTTTTATTTTGTCACAAAGTCAATAAAAAGTCCGTCGAGTGTAACAATTTATAGGTCACTTCTTTATCACTTCTGCCTTACATGTTTCGGTTTAATAAAACCATCATCAGAGGCACATAGTACAAGCATGAAAACACTGCCGTTGTTTAAGATGTACACAGTTATGTTTGCTGCGTGAACGCTGCTACAATACGTCGACGTGTATTTCACTAAATATGAATCGCATTTAAAAACTAAGTCTAAAGATTTATAACAAGGGTATGTAACTAAGATTATTATTTTGGATATTGTCCATTGTCCTGAGCAATTGTTCTCAGTCTTTGGATTCTTGCATTTTGCTTAGGATCTTCTCTTTCTTTGCGTCGCACTACAATTAGAATGGAGACCTAAATTGTATAACAAAAGTACGCCAATTTTTAAAATAACTAGCTAAACTAAATTAACTTCATGGAGCTGAGCCCTTCTTGAGAAGGCGCCAATTGGGCAGCTACTCAAGAACATCCCAACATATTATGGAACCCGAAGGTTCATTACCGTTTTCACAAGAACTATCCTGAGACAGATCAATCCAATCCACTCCATTCCATCCCGTCTCTCTAAGATTCATTTTAATATTGTCCACCCACCACCGTCTTGGTCTTCCTAGTGATCTCTTTCCTTTTGGCTTTCCCACCAATATCCTATATGCATTCATCTTCTCTCCCATTCGTGCTATATGCCATGCCCATCTAATAATTTCTAAAAATCGTAAAACAGGATCATAAAATGTTACCAATATCAATTTAGAAATGTCATGCAAATTCATGTCTATTTTATATAATCATTCCTCTCTTCAAAGCCTCCTGTTGCAGTGGGTAAAAAAGTCGCGGCGCACCGGTTGAAAACCTCTGGTCTGGAGTATTTTAAAACACAACGTTTCAGAAACTAGATGTATCCGTCATGATGTATAAGGAAGTAAAGGTTTCTTCTCATTTGTGACCTTTGATGTTAACAGAGTTTTACCCTTATTAGAAATTCCTTCGGTGTTCAGTAATCACGGGTAGCTCTTTGTAACGGGCCCAATTGAGTAGGAAACTTTTCCTCCTTAACGCATGACAATGGAAACACATCTAGTTTCCGAAACGTTTTAAAATCCCCGAAGAAGTTGAAAACGTTAAAATATTATCCATAGTCACATTTTGATAAAAAGGTATAGCTGTCCCTGTGCTCAACGAATTACGCACTACGCCATGAAGACGTATGGGGGAGTGGACGTATAGATCCATATTTTCTTGACCTCGGCACTAGCTGGAGGTAAGTGGGCAGCTTTACCCCCCGGCCGCTTTACCCCCGGTACCCATTGGACAGGAGGTTGGGTGGACCCCAGAGCCAGTCTGGACGATTTGGAGAAAATTCTTGACCCTATCGGGACACGAACTCCGACCACTCAGTCGTCCAGCTGGTAGCCAGCTGCTATACAGACTGCGCTACCACGGCTCCGAGTCACAATATGAGCATCTGAAATAAGTCATGAATATAAGGTCGTGAAGGCTACCCATGTTTTCTACTTTGGGATGTTCCCGATAAAAAGAAAGAATCATAACGTTAAATTTAGGTTTCATATAACATGAAAGATGTAGTGAAATAGATAAGTCAGGACAGAGCACAATGGAGAACAATTACACTCCAGACTTGTATTCGGGAGGAACTCAGATCAAATCTCGGAAGAATTACTGGCTATTCTGAGCTTTTCATGGTCTTCCTAAGCCTCTCAAATGAACCTTTCTGCAGATTGCGGCTGTCTCCTTCCACGACCTTACGTACTCATTATGCATCATTCATAATAATCTGTCAGTATCGTCCGAAGCTCTACAATTTCGTTTGAAATAGCGTCGTTATATAACCTAAGAATGTTTAAGAATCGGGTTTATTCTTAGAATATTGGTATTTTAAGAAATTAAAAGAGATGTTGAGATTTCGGCCGGTCAGGTTAGCCGAACGGTCTAAGGCATGTACTGTCTTCGCTCGCTCGGAAGCAGGGATCGTGGGTTCGAATCCCGCACAAGACATGGATGTTTGGTGTGTGTGTGTTTATTCTGTGTTTGTGTTGTCCTGTGTTTAGGTAGAGGACTTGCGACGAGCTGATCACTCGTCCAAGGAGTCCTAAAGTCTGTAAAATGATCAAAATGGAAAAAAAAAAAAAACCTCGTCACCACAAAGATATAAGTGGAACGGATTAAGTAAGTTGAAATTTCGTATTTAGCAAGTTTCGTTTCATTCTGATGGTAATTACTTGCAAATATCAACATTTCCATAACAACACTTTCTTGGAAGACTGATCATTTTGTGAATTTCCTTTGATGTAAAAGGAAGGAACTGTCTTACTGTTGACAGAGATAAGAACAAAGAATTGTTTTATGCTTTCCCCGTTCTGGCTCTAGCAAAAATGCACTCAACATTAAGACATGTTACTTGGTTCGTCTGTTTCTGACCACTCGGAAAGCCGTCACAGATAAAACGAGCATGTCAGCCGAGCCTATGTTGACATGACGCGTAGTTCGGAAACTCCGTCGCAGTGTTTCAGGATGGGCTGATACCACACAAGCCAACCTGTAACGAAATTCCGGAACAAATCCTACAGTAATGCCTGAATTACATCCAATTTGCAACCAGTGCCATATTGAAATCCCCAGTGTAGATTGCTGAAAGAGACTATTATGAGACCGAGTAGGTTGGCTTAGCGGTAACGGTCTAGACTTATATTCTATAGATTCTCAGTTCGAATCTCGGTCGGAATACTATTTATCCCGAGGCTTTTCGTGTTTCTTCCTTAGAAACAAATGCCGGGATAGTATCTCGATTAGGCCAGGACCGCTTCCTTCCAAATCCTTCTCCATTCATCAATCATTCTACCATTCCACGCAATATACGAATAGTCCATATATTGAGATACGTAAATCAAACCATGAAACCTACTGCGAAGTACTACAGTGACATTTCTTTATTTTATAATAGATAAAATAAAGAAAATTCATACACAATATGACGCTAAAGTGTAATATTTCTAAGTACAGTGACATGTTCCCAGCTTCTGTGAGAGGCGATAAGAAGGCAGGTTTACGAGCGATTTGTTGAATTTCAACAAGATCATATGACTCGTAGTTCTTTAGCTTAACGCCATTATTTTATAAGGGAAAATGAGTTCAGCATGATCTCTTACCACTGCGTTCGTTAGCCTCAATAACATTTGAACGAAATGGTGGATTTTAGTGAAATGTGGTATGAACGTTTGCCACTACTACTTGTACAACAACAGCATGGTGGCCGTGGAAGCTTATAAGGCTAGTGGGCCATTCAAGATACTTAATATAAGGTTATGAGATTTTATGTAACACTAAATCTTTAAAAAAAGTCATCTTCATTACGGTTAATATTTACAGATCTTGCTGGGTCTTACTCAAAGCTGACAATTATCAGTCGACAAAGGCATTTCTTGCCTTAAGAGAGCCCCAAGGTTCCCAAGGTTCATTACCATATCCACAAACCCTCCGCTGGACCCAGTACTAACCTAGTCCAAACCAGTCCAAATCTCACTACTTCGGTAAAATTTCTTTGTATACGTCCTTAATATCTACACTGACGTCTCCCAAGCCGCCCCTTCCCTTCGGGTTTCTAAACAAAAATTGTATATATATGTATATATATCATTTTTGCATGCATGCTACCTGTCCTCTCCATAACACCCTTCTTGGTTTGATTCACGTAACAATATTAAGTCAAGATTACAAATTATAAAGTCTTTAATAAAGCAGTTTTCTTCATCTTACTGTTACAGCTACAAAAATATACTTCATATGAATTTAATCCATCAAACTAAGTTCCATTATTTTGGAAACCTACATGCACTTTTATTCAGAAACTGTCTGCATCAAATACTGGCTAGGTCATAGGCTGTCTTGAACTTTTTTTTTTGGGGG